ATGTGGAATCAACTGGACAATAGGCGTGTTCTAAACTAACATAACAGCGATGCGTGTTAGCGGTTTTCACACTGATAATGGTAGTCGAACGACATTTCAGTCAGGATTTCCCAGTCAGGATCCGACGAAGTGGATAGTTTTTCGTACTATACCGAAAATTTCAAAATTTCATGCTGAACTGAAAGCTTCGTCCGTTTCACCAGTGCAGAATTGTTGAAAACTTCTATGAACACACACCCATTCATGTGACGAAAAAATCTGCACAGACATAAATTCCAGTGATATATTTTTCAACTTTGCTATGACTGTTTCAGCGCATCAAGGCATTGTATCTCAAAATTTTGTGCTCTCTTATAGTGTAGTACGGAGACATTAAAAAATCGATAACAAGGCAAATCGGAGGCGAAATCTTGCAGTCGGGGACTCTAAAATGCGGTCAGTTCGAGAAAAGTCTGGGCAAGGATTCGGGCCCGTAATCCCTGAAATTCTACGATCTCCGCACCACATTACTCTCTTCCCATTGTAACCGCTGACGCCTGCTGGTTTAAATCACGCCCATTGTCTCTTTACGACAATGCCTTTTGAATCTATGATAACCTCGTTGGCATTCAAATATTTACTTAAGTAATTGTAGTGAACAATGGAGGAAGTGCTTGAGCCATCACTGCGGAATGTTATCGAACAAAAATCTCTGAAATGGATATTCGTCGGTGGCAAAGGAGGTGTCGGGAAAACCACATGCAGGTTTGCTGATGAACATAATGTTTGCAGAAAAATCCTTTTTTAAAAGGACGGGTATGGATTCGATGATAATATTTGTATGTAGTTCACTGTAAATGGTGTTTGCAGTTGTTCGTTAGCTGTTCAGTTAGCGAAAGTGAGACGAAGCGTTCTGATCATATCAACTGATCCTGCGCACAACATATCTGATGCATTCGCTCAAAAGATTAGTAAAACACCGACAATTGTCAATGGATTCTCGAATCTTTATGCAATGGTTCGTTTTGGTGATTGTTGTTAAATCATTATTATTATTATAATTATTGTTTTTGGTAATGAACTAGTATTCGTAATGAATGATGTGATCTCTTCAGGAAATTGATCCCAAATCAGATTCAGATGTGGTACCTCAACTCGTGTCTGCATCGGATGTTACTGAAAGAGGTTCGTTGAGGTACTTATTTTGTGTGTTATATTGTTAACATCGTTTGTTACGATGTTTACTTGTTAAAGATATGCTGGGAGTTGGTCGACAGTTACTGCAAGATCTAGTCGGAGGATTGCCGGGCATTGATGAGTCCATGGCTTTTGCAGAAATGATCAAGTAAGTGTATTGTGAACATTTGTATAGGGCTGAATTTACTCATATTATTATTGTCATTATTGAGGTTGATCCATTCAATGGACTTCGATGTAGTGGTGTTCGATACAGCGCCAACTGGACACACTCTTCGACTACTTCACTTCCCCGATATACTCGAGCACTGCTTGTCGAAAATTCTGACGCTACAGAACTCTTTCTCACCTCTCATTTCACAGGTTTGTCAGTTCCTTTCTGCTTATTTAATTGATTGGTTTGTGGCACTCTATCAATAATAATTATATTTCAGGCCGGCGGTATGCTAGGCTTAAGTCAGAATTCAGCAGAAGAAACTGTAACAAAAGTGCGCGAAACACTGGATTTGGTGAAAAAAATTAATGCACAGTTCAAGAATGAGGTTATTAATTGATAATCATTATTGAGCTATGTTAAGAAGTGAACAAATAATTTTTTTAGGAGTTAACAACGTTCGTTTGTGTTTGCATCGCTGAATTCTTATCGTTGTATGAAACTGAACGACTTATACAAGAGTTGACCAAGCAGGTTAGTACGGTTAATGTTCAAGTTTGATTGTTGAATTGATCAAAGGAAAGGATGAGATGCGTAAATTTTCAGAAAATAGACACACACAATGTGGTCGTAAATCAATTGGTGTATCCAGATAAGGATGAGACCGGATGTGTGAAGTGTAAGAAGTGTAATGCACGATATAAGATTCAGAAGAAGTATCTGGAACAGGCTCGTTTTTGTTTTGTTTCATTTCATTCGCCGTCGAATTTGTTCAGTTGAAATGAAGATAATTTGGATTCAGATAGAGGATTTATACGAAGATTTCAACGTGACGAAATTACCTTTGATGGACAATGAGGTGCGTGGAAGGGATCACATTTGTCGATTTAGTGAATATTTAATTGATCCGTTCGATCAGAGCAAACATTCTTCGGGTTTTGACAGCAATTGATAATCGGTCTTCAAATTGAAAACGACTACTGATGATTGCTCTTTATCGATCTTGTAATAAATAGCAACATCTGATGATATGCATTATCGATTTGAAATAATCATTGTCTGTTTATCACCGATCTTAAAATAAATGAATAAATAATCGTTACTTTCGTCTTAATTTTGATGAGAATTACATTTTTTTTGTTTATTTCTACGCGATTGAAAGGGACATTACATTTGATAACATGGAAAGGGATGGGATCAATGAAGTTTCCGAAGATAATTACACACAATGTGATCGTAACTGATTACAGATCAACGTGATTAGATTTGAAAATATCTTTTCGAAGTGATTGATTTAGGCATAGTTGTGGGCAGGTCGCTGTCTAAGTATCACAGGAGAGATTGAGAAAATTTTTGCATTTGAGTTAGTAATGGTTTACGACTGAAATTCGATTGCAATTGGTTCCGAGATTTGGAATGTGAAGATGAGATAATAATTGGTATAACCAATTGTAGATGTATGCGGCCAGGATATGTATCAACAACATTTTGCATTCTGATGCTGTTGCTCTAATAATCGCAAACGAACACATAACTTTAGAATACCATGGAAAATTTGTTGGGAATGTTGATGTAACAATGAATTGAAGTTGAATGATAACACATTTTATAAGAAAATGTTCAGAGACCACAAATTTGATATATACATTTACATGAATGTTTCTAATCGATTTTCAAGTATCTCGAGTGTTATCATGAGCAATTGACTTAAAGCAGTTGGCTTACAGAATGTTCAAAGGGTCAATTTGTTATTGTTTTCTGAGGTATCTGATTAATCACTGAGTGAGTATCACATAGTAAGATTTTTACTTGGGTATTTATATTTCACAATGCCATCTTCTTCAATAACGCGATTTGATAAAATTTATTCACATCTAACTGATACCAACAATAAAATTGATAACAAATCACGGAACAATCAATAACCCGGAGGTGTTCTCGGTTCAGGACAATGATCGCACGTGCCGTCCTCGCCTCGTGTCCCATCGGCTCCTTTTGGCCCTTGTTCGCCCTGTTTTCCAGCCAATCCCGGTCTACCAGGGTCACCCTCTGGTCCTTGCTCTCCTCGAGGTGATGTCCCATCTTTACCAGGTGCTCCTTTTGGACCTGGTAAACCTGGTGGTCCGTATTCTCCTGGAGGGCCTGGTGGGCCTACAACTCGCTCGATCAAACGACCTGGTTCACCTTGAGGACCTGCTGGACCTATTTTTCCTCGAGGACCGGTTGGCCCCTGAGGTCCAGCCATTCCTTGTGGCCCTGGTTTACCATCAACCCCATCATCTCCTTTCTTGCCTTTCGGTCCCTGTGGCCCCTTTCGACCTGGAGGACCTGCTGGGCCTCGCGCACCTGTTGGACATATTACACATGGCTCCTTCTGAAACACATCATTTTCATAAGTATACTTATATTTACATCAGTAATAAATAAGTAACGCACCTCCTCATCAACTTTCAAAATCTGGCCATCTTTGCCATTCTTGCCATCCTTCCCGTTCATCCCATCATCTCCTGGCTCACCGTCGTCTCCAGGAGGTCCTGGCGGTCCAACTGGTCCTTGTTGACATGCACAACACGCTTTTAAGTTCGGATCATCGTTTATTATCGACCCTATTCGTTATGCATATATGAATGCATATAATATGAATAACATCAAGTGACTATAATGAAGCACTTACCGTATCCACCTCCTGATCCGTACTGACGTTTCAAACGTTTCACAATGTACTGCTGGTGATTCAGAATCGACATTTCAGACCACATATCGCGAGAACGTGACTGAATGAATAGCGATTATTGTCGTTGAGAATAAAGATTGAAACGAACTAACTGCTCACCTTACAGAAATCAGTCTCTTGAATGAGATGCGAATGGAGATTTGCTACGAATGAGTACAACATAGGTAATGTGATTATGGACGTGATAACAGCACTGGTTGAGATCACCACTGCGAAGAAGGCGACTCGTCGCATTTGCCGTTGATACTCGGATTCTTTCAATTCCATTCTGGATTTGTTCTGAGGGTTTTATTCTCAAATTAGTAGGTGTTGATCACCATGTCGAGATTCGATCATACTGTTCAGCTATTCATTTTCAATTGTAACTTCTAACGATTTGGTAAAAATGTAAGCGGAATCGAAAAAAAGCGGTAGCAATGTAGCAAGTTAATAGTAAAGAAATAGAATCACAAAAGGATTGTGTTCTCGGATATGCTCTTAAATGAGAGACATTGTTCATTAGAACACACATTGCACACTAAATGATGATCGGATGCCGATCCAAACTAAAATGAAACATTAAGATCATAAAGGATCGTTGTTTGGAGGTGCTTTGTTATCGGTCAGTATGTGACAATAGTGAATTTGATTTAATCAGTTAATTAATTTAACACACCTCTCTCTTTTTGTTCGCACAACTCGGGTCATTCCTCCTTTTCAATCCCATTATTTTGGATTGCACACAATTTCAATTCATTTCTTTCATTTTATTGAACGTATCATATGCACAATACACATATACATCCAAATCCAGTTGTCATGCTTAATCGCAACCCTTCTTTCATATCGCCGAACAGCAGTTGCAACAGCAATCATTTAAATGCTAATTCTATTCATATTTAGTTTTACTTCTCAATCGGGTGATTACAACTGAATACAATATTCCCATATCTGCACTTAACATTCCGTTGTTTTTTCAGTTGAATTTCAGATATGATTTATTATTTATGTGCATGATTTATTTGTGATGTAACAACGGTTGATCAATGTGTCTGCAAAACACATTGATTCAATTGATCTATACGTACGTGTATAATATTGAACTACCGAATTTCTTTGTTGAACACATTCTTTTGCATCGGTCAATCGAACATCAATCCGGTTTTTGTTATTAGTTGCGTTTAATTTAGCAGAGAGAAGTGATTCAACGATTCAATTGATGAGACATAATCATTACCAAGAAGATGAGAGAATTGCAGAAGAAAGTTGTTCGTCTAACAAAGACGGCTAAAACAATGGTTCGAATAAGTTGGATAATTAATCAGTGTTTAATGAATGAGTTGAGATGTCGTGAATGAAATGATTATAAAACCTAAAGTGATGTTTGTGCTACTTGACGTTGTCTAAACCACAACGTTTCATTTGAATATTTTATTCGAATCTGTCAAAAAATTATTTGCGGAAATGAAGAATATTCTTATGAGACGATCAATTGAATGGGATTTTTGATGATTGATGAATAAATTCGAAAAATTGATCAGATAGGTCAAACGATTCGATGCTGTTATATAACAAACTGATGCCTGTTCTCGATTTTACAAAAAAAAGGAAAGAATTATTTTGTCTAGAATGTGAGAAATGAGGTTGAGTTGAATGGTTAATGAAATGGGGATGACATGACCAGGAATCTTCTTCGTTTGTTATATCATATTCTTGAGAGGAACAACATGATGTCAGGGGTATATAACGTAAAGCCGTAATTGCTGATTAAATATATAAATGAACACTTCACCTTATGAAATCAATCGACAAGATCATTGGTCTCTCTCCTTAAGTATCAGTTAAACACCATTTTTAAACCGTATCATAAATAGATATCACCTTCAATTTACCATATCATACGTTCACCTTCAGTTTCAAGGTGAAGCATGTTCTGCATGATATTAACCCGTCCTTCATTTCAGCTTTGTGAAAACATTCCATGAGCGACGAGCATGGTGTTTAACTGGTATCGAATCGCCGAATATTTTTTGTTATTATCATCATGATGAAAGCGGAATGACTGATGCAATTAACTGATGTAATAATCTGATTGTGTGACAATTTATTAATACCTACGTGTACACCAAAACATCACGAGAATTGATTAGGTCGAAGAAGACTATGAATACAAATAATGATGCGATGAAAAGCGGAATGAACGAACACAACAACGAACACATTATGCCATAAATAATTAACGTTCAAATAAAGGGTACCATTACGAATAGGTCTTCAATGAGGTGATATACATTCGTGAGAAAGATTTTCATATTTGTTCACACATTGAATGTGCAGTAGTTGTTGCTACGAAATGCATTCAGAACAATTCCGATAGGTAGCCATTAGCAACATTAACATAATTTATGTATAAATACGATAGGATATAATACAATCACGTTCGCTTATCCCAACTAGAATCGTTTATCGCACAGCTGAATATAAGGCAGTGCAAAAACACTTCGGCACGGGAAATAGTTCAGATTGAAACTGTAATGATGGCTGTCCTTACGGCGTTTGATGTCGAGAATTGAGAACATCACAAAGGCGTTATACGCTGCGATACTGCTCAGTAAATGGAATGCTGCATGCAAGTACGGTGTTCCTGAACAATTCAACAATTATTTGCAATTATTCATCGCTTATTCATACCACTCACAAATTCAATCAACTCACCAAGATATAGCCAAAAGTCGCACAGTAAACGATCTGAAAACCAGCACACAGTCGCTGCTGTCCAAAGAACGAAGATTTTCCATGTTGAGTTCGCCGTTTCAGGTATATCAGAGCTGAACAACAACGATGCTGATGACAATTACAATGATAATGGTACTGATAATATAACTGATAATAATACTGATAATATTACTGATAATGATATTGATAATAATGATAATAATAATCGTAACAAATATTAGCAACTCACTCAAAACCCTCATAATAAATGATCACAATTGCAGGAATAGACCAAGACATCAAGGCGAATGCATTCAGCGAAGGCTTGATGAAGCACAGTGCACTGATAAATGCGGTCATTAGCACGGTTGCCCATTGATATCGTGATCTGCAGTTCTCAACTATTACTAGTAATACTATCATTTCACAATAAAATAAGAACACCTACATATAGTGTTTGTGGTTGTGAGGTAACCACTTCATAACAGGTAAGTACGCAATAAGACAGGTGTTTAATAACCACAACAAGCTCAACTCGTCAACCAATTGACCTGAAACTTGCTTCAATAACACAATATTCATCCCTCAGATAAATGGATCATCACAGTGCTTAAGCAAATCGCATTCGTTTGAACGAGCAAACGATAAATAACAAAGAACATTACCAAATAAATTAAGGGTTGCATGATAATAGGTGGATGCAATGCCGTTAAACGCTAGCAGCAATTGAGGTAATGCAATCAACCAGTTGATCTTCAGGATATAATCTTTCAACAGCATCACGTTCACCAGTGGTAGAACAATCAAAGGCAGATTTGTTATCTGAACACGGTTCATTCAATGTTTCTGATGGATAAGCTTGTTATGCGTAATTGTTGCTAAAAAAAACGAACACAATTCACAAATTCGGCAACCATCGGCAGTGTTTGATATTTGTAGGCAGCACTTTCACACCATGCATATCCAGTCTCGTATTCGAACCACTCCATCCGGATCTCGTTCAATCTATAGTTTCATATTAGCATATTTCTACACGAACACCAAATACTCTCCGATTATTCAATCGAACACGTGATACATGCTTGTTTTCGCTTTCTATCGCGATTATATTACTTGTTATTGCAGACGAACAAATTCTTGATCTTTGATCGATCCTCATCCCTTATTGTCATTATGATCAAGATAACAATGATAACAATAGCAACAACAGCAGTAATAATAATAAAACATTAATAATAAGAACATGAATATCAAAAATTTGTTATCTGAATAAGGTGTTTTGAAAAAGAAAAGGCAGATTTGTTATCTGTATATGGAATAATATATGGAATAACAAATGGAACAGTGGCATGAGCCACGATAACCACTGAGGAAAACGGTGAATGACCGAATGAAATGAGAATAAGTAAGCGACTAGGTGACAGATGCTTGACTGCTGATTGCATGGAGTAATAATTACACATCGGTCAACTACTAAATGAGGAGTCATAAAAGGAGGTATCAATGCTCAATGATGCGGATGCTGGCACATTAATTGTTGCTTGTACGTAACACCTCACTTCACCTCATTCACAAACTCGTTTCCATTTCAAATCCATTGCATAAGAAGATCATACAAACTACATCCATGATTAAGTGCTCAAATGTCACTAAAATGAAACTATACATAGTGCACTATCATGCAGAACTAAGTGAATAAATACATCCGACAGATACATCCAATCCGAGCCGTCTTTTATCAAACAGAATTGAATGCAGCAACCTTGTTGAGGAGAGCAGTAGCTCATTGTCAGCAATTCGTTTCAACAATAAATTAAACGTTTATTGAGCAAGGCTTATGAATCGCACGGCGGGATATCGCATTAACAGGTGAATATTAGAGCAATGCAGACAAATTCGTGGTGATAGCTGCTACATGAAGTAGGTGAGTGAGTGAACGGTTATCAGTTGATGAACGCAAGCAGCAACGAGTTGATTCGTTCAATGTGCATTTAGAACTTGATCAACTGAATATTCAGTCGTGTCGATTATAAGAACAAGTTTTTAATTGTAGTGATGACGATGACCATTTTTATATTTATTATTTTATTGTACATCGTCTTCATTATTATTATTATTTATTATTGTTGTTGCTGAGGGTGGTGGTGTCTATTCATGACTTTTTCAATCAATTCATCAAGTTTTGAATTGATCACATAGACATGCTCGATTCATCGCAAGTGATTGGATCAACGGATTGAATAATTAGATTGATGAGATGCGTTATAAGAACTGAAATAAAATGATGAAAATTGATGAATGATGTAGCATTCGGATGAATTATTACTACATGAATATGGCGATGTGATCATTTGTTGCTTATGTGCATGCATGGTTGATGCGAATGAGAAATCGGGTTCTATTCATTAATATGACGATTGTACACCACGTTGCTAGGGGCGTTGCTTTCTACAAAACAATTATTTTGCTATGTGTTCAAAGATGGACTGATATTCATGTGAGGTGAGCGCTGAGGTCATGCTCTATATAATATGCTCGCCTGTACACATCAAACCTCCGCCTAGTCCGCTTGTCGCCGACTTCGTTCCCTACGATTCACACAATCTGTTCTCTGCGATAGCATCTCAACAGCAACTTTCCTATTGCCAAAAAAAACCAATAGTAAACCTACTACAAGCTTCAAAATTCTAGCACTCAAATTCCTTTAGTTGGTACGTTGCTGATCACTAAGCACCATGCGATAGATAAATCGTTAGAAATCTAGCTAACGATAAGCATAATCCGTTAGCAGCGTACAAAGAGATTCGGCATTTCAGAGAGCAGGCATAGCCCGTTAACAATCTACAAATGCAAC